CCTTCATCACAACGAGATCAATATATCATAAGGATACTTTTAAACTGCTACACGGCCGATAGGTATCTACATGAGATACGCCTTAAAAAATTATTTATGAAGTTAATATGCTTATTTAACAGTCACTTTCGAATTCAGTTTTAAACATATTAGCTTAAAATATTGCATTTTTTTAATTCTTTCAATATAATGTTTTATTACATCACAGAATTATTTTTCAATGTATTAAAATAATTATTGACTTCAGTATAAGAAGAATTAAAATTAAAATTAAATTTTTTATATTCAAAAACTTTTTAATATCTTGACATAATTATTGGCTTAAATACGTAAAAATGGAAATGTTATTATCATTAATTACAATAAGTATTAACCTTTAAATTTTCACATCAATATATTTTTAATTTCGCTCGGCACGTAAGAGAATAAGGTGAGGATAACGCGAATACAACAATGATAATATAAATAATTACATTTATTTAATTCTATCTACTGCTTAAATCAATAAATACTATCCCATTTGCTTTTATCCATTTTGCTACAATGGCGTCATTACAAATGAATACTTTTTTTTCAATTTGTTTAGTAAATGTTATCTAATCCAATTGAAAAACGTGTCACCTTTAAACTGTATGGCACATTATTATTTTTCATTTTATCAAAATGTTTTCCAGCATTTTTCCTTGAACGCTTGCTAATTCGTATTGCAAAAGAACATTTATCGCTTCACATTAAATTATTCTATAATTTCAACATAAATTCTTTAATGCATTTATAACAACTAATATTTACTATTTAATATAACTGACTTAATACCGATTCCGGTCATATCAGAATAATCTACCTATTTTTCTTAGAAAAATGGTATATAATTATATGTTTATATTGCTGAAGTCGAGAAAAACAAATGACTAAATTTTCTTTAGGTCTGTGAACATAATATTTGTGTTGTAAATACGATCAGCGATGGCATAAATAATGAGAATTTAAAACGTTTTACAAATAACTTAATAATAACTTTATTAATAAGATTGTAATATTATTATTGTAATGTTTACACGATGCTTTTGCTATATTGTGAAATTCTGACAAAGGTGTATGGAAAATCTTATCTACATTAATTCAAAATATTTCAGATATATAGAAAATTTATATCTTTATATCTTTATAATTTAATCAATAAACGGAGCCGAATAAATTCTTACGCATAAATTCTTACCGATAATTTTGTACGCCAATATGGTAAAGCATAGGACTATGTTTTTTTATATTAACCGATATTCCACAAAAATCTAATTCAAATCAAACGGAAAGCCATACAATCGATCTTTAAAATAATGTTCTCATCTTGAAAAAAAAAAGAAAAAAACCAGGAAAAAATGCGATGCCGAAGACAAGTACTAATAACTGACAGGTGATGGAATTATTCGTTAAAAGTCCCTCTTCGATTAGCGATTAGATAAAAGCTTGAATGCCGGTACAAACAATTGTAACGATCGCGGTTGTTCCGGAGAGTTCGTATTACGTTCCGTGTATGCGTCGGTACCGCGCCTTATTGGTCCCAACATTACTACTTTGTAACGTATCAAAGAATCACGTGCATTAGCATTAATAAACCTTCTTTTCTATAGCAACAATTCCAGTCAATAACGGGCCAACACGGGCATTGAATACAAACGCTACGATCGAGTTAATACCTGTACAAAAATAGAGAGAAGGAGGGAGCATCGTCAGAGAGTAGGGGGCAATGAGAAAAAAGTATTTAAAAAGACGGAGAGGTAGTACCGACAATGTTTGTAAAAGAGCAGTCTAAAGAAAATTATGCAGAACAAGTAGTGGCATCGGTAATTGTCACGACTTTCGGTTGCACACATATTAATGCGCTCGCGCCACCGCGTAGCCAAGTAGTCGGGCGAGAACCGCTGGTTGCAGTGTATCGGTTAACCTCGCCGAGACCATAATATCGCACCTGGCTAAATATCTATCTTCGGTCTCGCTCCCCCTTCATTCGCTCTCTTGCGCACACACGGCAGGCCATAATCGTCGGACGTTAAATTTCTCTCATTTTCTCTCCCCGGCTGACGCTAATGCGCGTGTTTATGCATGCGGCACTACAGTGCTATAAACAGGCTCTTTAAACGCGCATTACCAGCTCAATGTAATGAATCTTTTTCTACGGCCAATTGTTTTTCATATTTCGAAGAAAATAATTGTCAACGGCCTTTGCTGCTTTACTATACTGTACGACGGTTGAACTAGATGGAGTAAGATGTGACCTCGGCTATGAAAATATTCGATTCCGTGTATTTCGCCTTATTGATATAACAGCTGATTGCGGAAGAAATTTATAATATTTCATTTCGGTTTCGCTAATTGGAAGATAAAAGCCTTTAATAAATTTCTTACATTACGCGCCTGTAAGACGAGGAGGTATGCGTACACAATAGAGAATATTTTATCTTGAATTAAATTTATAAAATATAAATTAATAATTTCGATGTGAGGAATTTTGTACTTCTTGAAATCTTCCAATTTCTAGAGTCAGTGGTTATATAAATATGGGTTGTAAAGCTAATTTTTAAATAAATACTTGTATAAGTAGCACTTATGTAACGTGATAAAACATTATAATCTATTCATTCAACAGGAAAGTCGCAATTTTAGTAAAATAGCTTCGATAAACTTTGACATACTTCTGTAGTCATGTGTACGTAAATTTTATCTGAAAATCCAATATTTTTCATAGTAAACACAATATTCTATTCGCAGAATAAACTTTGTGTTAATATTTAACATCGTTTATTTGTTATACAGTATAACAATTTCGAATATACACAGTGAATTTGAAATTCAAACATTGCTTTATTTCAAAATCAGATTATGTAAGAGGGAAGGGGGTGAGGAGGGGGAAGGGGAGCCAGTGAGAGTTGAAACAAGAAAAGTTATAAGTACTGTGGTTGTAAATAAGCATGGATTGACTAGTTATAGCTACAAAAAAATGTGTGCAAAAAATAGTGGCAAAGTAATTAGTAGCCAATGGTTTTTATTATTAAAAAATAAATCAATCATAATGATAATTAATAATTTATTTATAGCAACCACATACGCTAATTAATGTTGTAATTTATGATTCGTAAATGGAACAAGCAAGTTAAAAAGGAACATTTATTAATAAAGGGGAATTAATTTTTTTTTTTTTTTTTTTAACGATAAATAACTATTGAAATTATGACTTTTATTGTACCTATGAAAGTATGCTTATAATATAAGAATTCGTAACAAATAGAAAATGTAAATAACGCTTAATTCGAAATAAAAAGAAGCAAGATTATTGATAATTTAACATTAAAAAGCCGTTAAAGATAACATTGTCGTTAACCTAAATTTAATAAATTGAGTGCTTTTTACATTTATTTTATGATTCAAGTATTTTCTTTTTTGCCATTGGCTGGAAAGAAAGACACGATGTCTTTTTATTTTGACACATTACATAGTATGCTCTTCCTCCCACCAATGAATTTATGAATTGTTGATTTATGAAAACAAGGTTAAATGCGAGGTTTATGATACCTATGTTTAATGGATTCTTTTTAAATAGTATTGCAAACAAAAAGCTTAAATTCCTCTAGAAAAATATAACGACGCATCAGCAATGTTTTTACAAAATGTATAAAGTGTTTTTGTTAACTGTATAGCAATTTTTTATGTTGTAAGATTTTATGACTCTTGTTAACTTATTGATTACCGAACTGTTGCTGGTACAGCGTATTGTTATATTATAAATATCTATAGACATTTCGACACATGCGAGTTTTTATTAATTTCGGTAAATACGGTGTAAATCAATATAGACAGAAACCATTGATTTTGAGAAAGTCATCGTTCCCTTTTTCTTTTCTAAATTTTTTTCCTCTTTTTTTTCTTTTTTTATTATCTTTTATTTTTTATTTTTAAGCAAACACAGTACTTTTATAGGATCGTGAATTATAATTGATGGATTTCGCTGTGCTTCGAGCACTAATGCCTTAAATAAATATTGAAATAATTATCAATCCAGCTTAGAAATAATGCTCAAGGATTGAGTCTTTTAAGCGGCTTACTCGGTCCGTAGCTCCACTTTACGACATTACAGCAAGCAAAAGTTGTACACGGTATTATTGATTAGCAACAACCGATATACTGATTTACGAACTATGTAATAGTATAGTAGTAGTATTACCAGTATTAGTATTAGCATTAGTATTAGTATTAGTATTAGTAGCAGTAGTGGTACTATAGTGGTATCAGTAATAGCAATAGTAATAATGATGAAACTAGTGACAGTAACAGTGAAGGTAGTAGTAGTGGTATTAATAGTAATTGTAGCAGTGGTGGAGATAATAACCGCAGCATCAGCAAGAGTACTAAAAGTAGTAACAGTAATAGTTATAGTAGTATTAGTTGTAATAGTAATGATACTGGTGTCAGAGGCACAGAAAACAAGAGTGAAATATCCGTCCCCGACAAGCAATTAATAAATGGCGCAGCCAAGGCTTGTGAAATCTGATAAAAGCGTCACATGGCTTGAAATATTAAAAGTCGCGATCAGTCTATAACTACTTTAAGACAACGTAATTGTGACCAGACTATCCTTGCTTATAATAGGCCCGTTGTGCTAGCCGTCATCACAATGGAAAGGGAGAGCGGGATGTCATCAACCATATAGAGCTCTTTCTACTATCACTGAGATTATATTCGTCCCGTACGACAAAACGAAAACAGAAACGGCCCAATGAAAACCGTTAATCACCATTCGTACACCCTCGCCTTCCGTCCCTCTACGCGCCGACGTCGCCGCCACCGTCGCATATACACCACACCATCGCGCCCGACGACGACCCCGCAAGTGCCTCCTAATAATCGCAATTTAACCTCGCGCGCGCGCCATTATACAACTCCACGAGCTCCGACGCACACATGACGGATCCTCGACATGTATAAGAACCTAAGTATCCACTTACCGGATGCCTAGCAGCTGCAGCGGCCGCCACGGCGGCCGCATTGATTCCGGCGCTCGGATACATTTTCCCACTCTCTCTCGGTCTGTTTTTGGCCGTGCACGGGCCTCTTTCTTTTCAGTTTCGTTCTCCTTCGCCTTCGCCTCCGCCTGTTCGTGCGCCTTTGCCACCGCCTCTACTGCAAGATGAAAACACCGCTACTTGAAGGACGAACTCCTTCTGGGGTGCGATAAGCGAAAGCGAACAACGTATCCGTGGATCTCAATTCGCCCGAG